CATACCTGTGTGGATCAGCATGCTTGCATTCCAAAGGTTTCTCCATGTAATGATCTGCTAGGGAGTGTGGGGGGGCCACAGCCCCGTCCTCCAGGGTGTGAAGCGGGTATGGAGGAGATCAAAACTCCAGACATCCAGAGGCCCCCAGAACACAAGAGACCATGGAAGACCAACAGAGGGGCAGCCGCGCCACTGTTCCAGTAAGAGCTGAGGAGAGTCCCAGATGAGGGCTCGCCCAGCAGCCGCGGAGCAGAAGTCAGGGGAGTTGCAGTGACGCACCCGTGAGCTCCGCCGGCCCCCAGCTGTGCCTGAGTGACCGAGCCCCAGGCCGAGAGGCCGGGGGCACCCCACCTCCAAAGGGGCCCGAGCGAGCCCCAGGCCCCAGGCCCGACAAGCGGCCGCCAAGGAGTGAGCCGGTGTGTACCCGGACGCCCACCCCAGATACAAAGAACCACCAACCACCGACACCTGAGGGAGTCCGCCACCGGCAGGGAAGTGGTGGTGGGTGGAGATAGGCCTCCAAACCTTGGAGGGCCTGAGGTGTCCCCAGAGAGGTGGCGTCTGATACCCACTGACATATAGACAACAGACATACAGGCACACACAGACACAAACATCCATTCCCACCCTCATGCTCTCATATGCACTCATCCACACTCAACCAACGTTGGAGACAGACATAAAGAGACGCTGTACACACAATCACACTCCCCAAGCGTACTCTACAAACCGGGTCTAGGTACCCTTGCCTGGAGGGGGGAATTGCACCCAGACCCAGGTGGTGTTACCCTTTTCCCTGCGGTGGGGAGAGGCAGACCACCCGACTCCGCAGCAGCAGGGAGGCCCACACCCCAGACCGCAGTCGGACGGCCAACTCTCCTACTAGCCTCCCGCTCCAGCAGCCGCAGAGAATGGGGGTGGGAGAAGACTCCAAACTCCCTCCACCCGCTCATTGTAGTGTTGATGCATGTGTGTTCTAAGGTGCATTTTAAAACCCAGGAGGGCATGGAGCTACCTGCCAAGGAGCAGCAGGTAAGCGCATAGTCCCTCCTGCTAGCCCTCAATGACTAAGTGTATTTAAAATTGAGAGGTGGGCAACGACGTCAGGGGTGAGGTATACACCCTGATGGTAATTGGACTCCGTGATGTGCCCACCCCAAGATCCTATATGTATGTGTAATGAGAGTGTGAATAATGTGAATGTCTAAGTTGTGGGATAAAATTGAGGCGAGGCAGCCAGAAGGGGACGGGGGGGGTAGCCTCCTCTGCACCCTGGTGACATACCCCCACTCCAAGGCCCTGCATGTGTGAGTGGTTGTGGAGGAGCGGGAAGAGGGAGGCAGCTGGAGATGGGGAGGGAAGGAAGGGAGGGGCAGGTAACCCTTCCTGGGCCAGCTCCCCCGCTGACCCCAGTAGGCACTCCCACCCCTTCGCGACCCGCCAGGGAAGGGGGCCCAGGCCCATCAGACCGGGGCCCAGTGCAGTAGCGCCCTCCGGCTCCACAGAGCCTGGACAGTCCACCCAACCCACCACAGAGAAAACTGCACCACCCCACCATCCACACATCTTCCAGACTACATAAGACGGTAAACGCCCAGGCTGAGATCTTCCTCCCCTCTCCTGTATTCTCCCCCTCCTGCAGAGAGTTCCTGAAGAGAAGAAAGCTCCTGCAAGATGTGACCATCCCCCCACCAGTTGAGAGCCCCCAGGCGGCTCGCGCACCGGCGGCACCCTGCTCCAGGGCCGGGCCCCCATGCACCCACCCGCCCACAACCCCGGGCAACACACCAACCAGGACCCAAGCCCCCGAGGCCCGGCCCGGGCCCCAGCCCAGAGACGGAGCGCCCCAGAACCTCCACGCCCATCCCGGACCCACCCAGGGCAGCCAGGTTGCCAGGTCAGTAACCCACGTCCGTCAGCACAGACCCTCCCCTAGCCCCGCTGCACGCAGCCGCGAGGAAACAGTCACCTGAGAGCCAACAGAGTCCCCAACCGGACGTGACCGCTACCCGGGTTGAGCCCCCCAAGGAAGATGCCTCCGGGGAACCCCCGACGCCCTAAGCCTGTCCCTACCCCTCACCAATCACAACAGTGAAGGCGGGACCAAACTATGACCCCCCACCCCACTAGTGATGGAGCTGATAAAAGGGGCCCAGAGCAATTGATCTAATGTGGTGGCAGAGGCTGTATCAAGACTAATGTAATCTAATAGATAATTTCTATATTGGTTAGAATTAAGATTATTTTTATTTTTCAAGTTCATGAGGACTGTTTTCTTGGCTATGCATAGGGCAGTGAAGATCATATGGGCTATATTCTTTTCTGAAGTGACATTATCTAAGCTGCCAGTAGACACACTAAGGGGGAAGTTGGAATGTTACATTTCAGACACTTTGATAAGTCTTCAACATATCTTGCGCCAAAACTTTTGCACTGGTGGACAGAACCAAAGAGCGTGGATGTAATTGTCTGGTGTATTGCCTTGACAGTGTGAGCAGTTGTTGGAAGATGTAAAGCCCATCTTGAACATCCGATGACCTGTATAGTGCACTCTATGAAGTATTTTGTATTGTTTAATTGCAGACACACACACATTCACACAGTGTGTGAATGTGTGTGTGAGTGGGTGGATGACTGGTTGTGTAAAGCACTTTGGGCCCCCTTAGGGACTAGAAAAGCGCTATACAAATACAGACCATTTACCAAACGATCTACCTGCTGAGCTGTTGCCTCCTAGTGGTGCTTGTTTTGCGCCTTTAGATGATCACACAAAGAAAGCAGCAGTGCAGAAGAATGAGTCTCAGTTTACAGCAGTTGTGACAGATGATAATTGAGGCAAAGCATTTTGTGTTTATTTATAGCTTGCATGTGCACAAATAAGTACTGGAATAACAAGCAGCTGCTTTTCCTGTTTAATTAATTTTCAAGATTAATTAAGAGAAATGAACTCTGCAACACAATACCATGAAGTTTTGTGCAGCATAACAGTTTCTGAAGTAGCAATGTCGTTGCAAGTGTGTCAGTGCGTCGGTATAATCTTATGGGCATATAATCTGTCGTTATATTCACAAGAATGTTGTGTCTTGTGTGAAAAATTACACTACCTAGTGGACACTAGAGGAATAAAAAATAATTGGCAGAGAAGCAATGCAATGGTCACATGTGTCTGTGTGCTGCAGTCAGCAATAAAGTTATGCTGCCACCACGGTCTGCTTCTTATAAACACCAGAAACACTACATCTGTTTTTCCTTACTGTGCGCTCAACTTGTCAATCAGACAAAAAATAGAAAAACAAAAAAGCATCTCTGCTTCGTACAAAGACATCCATTTATCAAGTCTGCAGACTGTCCTAAAAGTTGTTTTTATACTTACAAGAAAATCTGTCTACTAAAGAGAAAAATCAGGTTTTCATGTTAAACAATAAATTTTATTCTCAGGATCCACTGTTTGCCTCTGACTGACTAACATATTTCCTTTATATACGCAGTCTAATCTTTTTAAATGATTATTTGCCTTCTTTCTGCTCGGTTTCTCTGACACCACATCAATGGATCCAACTCTGTCTTGACATCATTAGACTTTTGTCTATCCTCCGTAGCTCTTCTTTCTCAGCCTTTGCTTTAATCTTGTGAAAAAAATGTCCTTCCCCATGCTATTGTTTCCCCATCAGTTTATGCCTAATAATCAAAAACATCAAGTGACTCCTCTCTGTGGGTTCGCCTCTGACCACAGACCCCCCCAATCATATGACATTAACAGCAAACTGTCTTTCTACATCTCTTGTTGGTCTTGTGACGTGGAAATGTTCTGCCTGAAATGCCCACTTAGCTTCTCAGACTGAACTGAGTGCAGTTTCTTGTTCACACACAGGGTGCCACTGAAATCCTTTGAAGGTAACCTGTTTAGCCTTGCTAATTTACCTCGGTCTTTGGGTCGACCTGAACTGCCCGCACATTTTACGCCGCTAAACTCACTTTATTACTCCCTGTGCTGTTTTCTAATTCTAGTTGGGTCTTTGTAGCAAATTCTTCTATCTAAGGTTAGAGTGGGGTGACCTGTGATCTTCACACTCACCTTCATTTTGAGTGCCATGGATGTTGGAGTGGTCTTGTCCACTCCAACATTCGTGACTCCTACTTCCAAGTCAGTCGCTGTTTCTCCTAGATCCTAGCTTTGCTTTTGTGGGTAACTTAATTTACAACTTTGACCCATTTCCTCTTGAATTTACATTTATATGAAATATATACTGTGTTTCTAACTGCACGAGTCATGTGGTCTTTTAACCCCTGACACTGCATGACATTGCTTTTGGTGTGTGACACTACAATTGTACAAAGTTGAAATCACAGATATTCTTACTTATGTTCAATCAAAAGTCCGCTTTGTGATATGAATTCTGACCCCACCATCTGAATGTCTCAGGAGAAATTGAGACTCGTGAGACCAGACAATGTTTTTTTCAATCTTCTATTGTCCAGTTTTAGTGAGCCGCTGTAGCCTATCGAGGTTCAATGTGTTGTCTATTCAGAGATGCTCTCTTCAGCATACCTTGGGTGTAAGAAGTAGTTATTTGTGTTACTGTTAAGAGAATAGTAGTTTGGCTAAACCCTGAAAACGGTTTCTCAGGAAAATCCCAGCAGTTGCTCAGTTCGAATTCAGCAAGTTGTCTTGATAATGGCTACATGACTACATGGATTAAGTTGCTGCCATGTGACTGGTTGATCAGGCATCTGCGTTTGTTGTTGCAGCCAAAGGAAGCAGAAGAGCATCTCTAGATGCACAGCATGTTTAGCAGCTGAAGAGCAGAGCCACATAATGCTATTTACAAGATATCAACGATGTAAAAAGACCAGATAATGGGTCAAAGTTCTTATGGTACACACTTATACCATTAAACTGACAAGCGAATAACTTAAACCATCTTACAGTGCAGTGTTCTGCTAGGAAACCTTGGGTTGTTTGGGCTAGAAATGATAAATGTCAAAGTCACTGTCCAATGCATGTTCAGTTCATCGTGTTTATTTTCCATTTACAATGGCGCTTTTATAAAATATTTGATGCCGAAACATCAAAACAAATGTAGAAATGACACCATACACACATTCCCCATGAATACATATTAACACACTTTAGAAAAGTACACACTGTCCTCTTTAGAGCCTTTGGTCTGGAACATACACCAGGTGGAAACAACAAGCATCTGCAGAAGAAGAGTTCTCTCTGTGCACCATTGAAGCCTTATCGTGTTTCGTATGAGTAAAGATTATACAGTGCACACATGGTTCCAGATGCCTTCTCCTAACACCTTAGAATGTTTTGCATCACTGCGGCGTTTATAACCATGCAGGATCCTGATGGTTGTCCATTTCCATAACGCTAAAATTATTTGCATAAGACAGAATGAAAGGCAAAGCAAATCGAACCAAGCACCAGGCACTGTAGAGCGAGGCACTTGAGCGCCCAACACTTCTGGTTTGGCTTCATGACATTTGGCACATGAGGGTGGCTTTGCACTTTAAACTGCATGTATGTGTTTGTGTAGGTGTGTTGGTGAGAAAAAGAGAGCCCTGTCGAGGGAGATTCACACCTATTGCTGTCTCCTAATTATCTTGTTGTGCCTCTGAAAACTGGCTAGACAAGTGACTTACATTCATTCTCCTCACATTTACACACCCACCATATAAAGTACGCACTCTCGTGATTCAAGAGTGATTTTTGAGCAGCCCTCTCACTGAGGCATAATGTAAAAGTCCGGAAAACCCGCTCACTTAGAGGGCTTCCAAAAAAAAAAGAAAAAAAAGGTAATCCATTAGTTCATGAGTGTTTTTTATTCCCATCATGCAGCGCTTAAACTTTCCTTGGCATTCATGAGGTTAGCAGAGTGATCCTGTGCGGACAGATGAAAGCAGGGAGCTGCTATGATGTGGAGGTGTCTGACTGGCTGAGGTCCTTCTTGCTCTTGTTCTTCTTCTTCTTCTTGTCCCCTTTGCAGGGCTTGCAAACACAGCACAGGATGCAGGGCGAGGCCAGCAGGAGGAGAGGTGACGTCACCAGCACAATGATACTGACTCCCACCAGGATCCCCACCACCTGAGCAGAGACACAGCAATAAATACTGTAATTACTCTTCTTATTAGCACTGGGTCAAATGACTGTGTCAAAGGACTTGGTCATAATGGCATCAGAGATTCATCATCTGACTCTCCCTACAGAAGTTGTTCAGTTCCCTGTTTTGGTTTTATAGTTTGTAACTTTACTGTCTTCATTTTCTGTTTAGATTCAGTTCTGGTGCAAACCTTCTTTACATCACCTACCCAGCAATAAACATTCGGAAAACATTAACAGGCAGATGGTAAACACAACTGAACTTTTGGGAACTATGGAGACTTAAAAAAAATGAAATTAATGAAAGTGAACTTACATTTACCAGCAAGACAGAACCAGGACTTCAACTGTCAAGAAAAGCGACTAAAGAACTCAGTCGCTTTTCGAATACTAGGGCTTGCTGTGTGGCTTATGAGTGTATTTTGCTAACTAAGCTTGCTAACTTTGCCGATAACGTAACACTCGTTAATTCACATTAAGTTCACTTTTGACCCCATAAAACCAACCTGGTGGCGGCTAAAATGCAACGCTGAAGTTTCAAAGTGTGAAGCCTAAAAGAAACGAATGATGTTGTTTTAACAAAGTTCCTCTTTTATATACAGTCTGTAGTTTTAAATTACTGTAACTGTTAAAACCTGATAGACTTTATTCATGTTAAATTGTTAAATCATTCATTCAGTAAACTTGATACACATACCATTATATGAATAATCCCTGTATGTGTAAACAAATAAGGCACACATATATATGTACATATCTTCGTGGACTTCCTGGTTTTCTGTTTCCCTTTGACAACACTCCCATGCACAAGCTGAGGTCCGTGGAGACATGTTTTGGAGTGAAAAGGCATGGCCTCCACTTAATCAGATACAGCACATTTGAGATGAACAGGAATGCCAAACTGTGACTCAATCTTTATCAGTCAACCTCAGCAGCTTACCTCAATAATTCTTTGGATGACTGTATGCTGCCGTAGCAGGGCAGACAGTAATAGCTGTGGTAGTGGATGTGACATGTTAAATAACCACAGATACATGTCATATACCGATGTCAACATTGTTTTGGATATGTAGTTACACTAAGGGTCGGCAAAAAACATCGCAGGTTAAATCTAACAGACTCAAGTACTTAAATGCAGCGGTGGAAAAATAATTTAAGGTGAACATACTTAGAGGACCTGTTAGGCAAGGGTGTAACCAGCTCTATAATGAGTTGTTTTGCACGAAACAACTTCGCTGCTGTACTTCAGCTCTTCACATACTTAGCAACCTGTACACACCGAGACGCAATCTGGAGATCCCAAGCAAACTTATCATGTGATAATGGCATTAGAGGAGGAGAAAGCAGAAGGAAAGTAGGTCTGGTGGGCAGTTGTAATCTTTTTGTTGCATAGTTGGTGTCGTTATGGGCCAGGAATTTGAGATTAGCTTAGGGATTTGCTGAGTTTAAAGGATTTCTTCAATGAACTGTGGGAAAACAAGAAGTCGTAAACAGCAAACTATGTGAGGCTTTAATATTCTTAAAGTGATATATAGTAATAAACCAAGCAGCTGATAAACTGAAAGACAGTAATTATGTCCCATGTCTCATGGTGATTGAGAGCTGGGTTGAAGTCCAAAATCCAGGTTATGTGCTGGTATGATTTGACTCAAATCCAGTCCCTGTATACAACAACCAGGTGGTTCTGTGGTCTAATCCATTCAGACAATAACAACATCACAAAATGCCACGCACTGCTGCCTTACAACTGGGCTCACCTGCGTTCTGTTCCACATAACCGAGGCCCTGGAGTGTCCCAGCTTGTTTCTGCATGGCCCCTTATCATAATGTCTCAAAAAGATATCACCCTGCATTTAAACACAACATACACATGCATGCAAAGACGTGAACAGGTGACTATGCAGCAAAGGAAATATTCCATTTGAATTTGGAAAAAAAGAAAGAAAAAAAGAAAAATGCATCACAGCTATTGTTTAGTTAGCAGGGGAGACTTACATCCAGATTCTGCAGACAGTACCAGCAGAAGGTGTGTTTGCAGCTTTTACACAGCATCTGTGCACAGCCTTGGTTTCTCTCGATGTAGATACCACACATAGGACACTGCTTGATGGGCATGTCAGAGTCACTGTCTGAGCGTGTCCTGTGAATTGGAACAAAGGCACACACGAGGAATGCCGTTAATGCCGCGAGGCCCTCCAGGCAGTGCGTGCAATCTTTATTTAGAGGCAAAGGTGAAGGGTTGTTATTCAATGTAAAGTGGGAAGCAGAGTCTTGAAGTTATGGTTAAGAGTTTACAAATACATATTTCTCAAGGCCGTTTCTTTAAACGCGCTAAAGGTAACATCTCTCTCATTCTAGATGTCATGCAGCCCTCAAAAAACCCTGTTTTTGATTAATACGAGATAGCAGAAGCTATCGCAGCTCATGTGATGTCAGAAAATAATACTGCAAAAAACACAAACAACAAATCTGCTCAAAAACACAAAGTCAGCAGGAGACAGAGACCAGTTCCTTGTTTTAAAAGAGGAAATTGAGCATTGTTTTGGGAAATAAAACTATAAGATATAAGATAAAATGCAAATGTAAAAACTACTGAAAGCCTCTGCAGGCTGAAAACCCCCCAGATATTATGCTGCCACGTTTGACTCAAAAGTGGATTTTAACTCATCTTTCTCATCCCCAGCGCAGGGATCATCACTTCACTGCTGTACAGTGAGGTAATTGGATCGGTGCCCATCCTCCTCCTCCTCTGTTTGGCACAGAGACAATGGAATTCCGATATAACTCAGTGACTCCCCAGTGACATCAGTCAGTCTGGCAGAGTCACAGCTCAGCGCAGCGCAGTAATGTCCCTGCTCAACTGGGACGCTTCTGAGGCACACTAAGTTATTAATCCTGAAATAATGTTTTTATAGAGCAAAGGGTTTCTACAGAGAGATGAGGAGCTACCCATCACTTATGTGATTCATTCAGTGTGCTGTGAACATCCTACACCGGTGAAAGTTAGGTCTTTTATGTCAAAGGAAAGTCTGGGATTTTCCTCATGGTGTAAAACACCACAATTGAAAATAAATGTAATCCACGTAATGTCAGAGAAAAATTCATCTGCCTCTGTCATTTCATCACATGCATGGCAACTGATTTGTGCAATCATGCATTGCTCACCAGTTTGGTTACAGCAAGTCTATCTCAGTGTCCTGACCTAATACCCTCCTCCAGCTTTTAGCCCAGTATCATTTCCAAAGTGCAGCTCTGTGGCTGCAGGCAGTGGGCAGCGGACCAAGAGGCTGGCTTTACTGACCTGCTTTGATGAGAAGGCGTCATCATGGCCTGCCGCTCGGGGCAAGCGTGGCCATCCTGCCAGGGCCCTCTGCAGCCGGAGCAGAAGACGGTGTGACAGGTCGGGCAGGGCACAGCGGCGGGGTGGCCTTCGGTGCTCTGCTCCACATTACACACAGCCTGACATTCAAGCACCGGGCACCAGGCTTTACTGGGGTCAAGCTTCACTCCTGTGGAGAGGAAAAGAACGGATGAGGCACATAGTCAAGATTTTCCCTTTCTGAAGAAAATGAGCGTGACGTGTCGCAGACAAAACAAAAGCAATCACTGTGAGCTGACTCAAACCCTTTACACTCCCAGCACATGCTTTCACTATGAATCATAACAAAAGGGACAACTGTAGTAAGACCGACTGCACTTTGCACTTTTTTGTTCTTACAATAACACGAGTTTTATGATTTATGGACGGAGTAAACAATAACTGTTATTGGATTTGCAGTGTATTATTGCTGTGCAAATAGAAAATGTCAATATAGCTGCACAGCAAACTACCCCTTTGTTTGCAGCTTATAAATGTCAACAGTGTTTCCCACAGAGGTGCTGTTTGCCTTCACAAACATTTACCTAACCAGTAGTACACAATTTATCTCCACTGAGAATCTCTTTTCTTCAGATTAACAGATTATTAACATGGGTGTCTTATAGTAGTAACCCCTTTATTGTTTGATAGCTAGAATTTAAGTAACCTCTAGGCTAAAACTGTACCAGAATTAAACAGAACACAAAAAAAGCCTCACAATATGCCAGGCATGTTAAGATAAATACTGGCTGGGACTGTTTGTGTGACCTGCCTGTCATCAGACAATAGCATGTAAACACAACAGTGCTTACCTCTCTCAAACTTGAGACGCAGATACAGCTCCACCTGACCTGCTGCTGCCAAAGCAGCTATCTGCAATCACACAGAGGTACTTCAATTATTTTACTGACTCAGATTTTATGATGCAGATTTCAGAGATGTGGAAAAAACAGCACTTTGGATACTAGACTTCCTGAAGCTTGTGATAACATGTTCAAAACCAAAATCTTTCATGGTGCTCTAGATAAAAATGAGGTTGTTTACCATCATAGTTGACAATCTGACGCTTCAAGTCATCTGCAATTTGCAGCATTATTTTCTAAAACTCATAAGCTGTTAAAAATGACACACTTTGCAGTATTTTCCAGAAAAACACTACTAAAGGATGGACTTCCTAGCACAAGAGTCTTAATAAAGTTGTATTCTGATTAGCAGAAGATTAAGGAAGGGGCACTTTTCATGTGGTTTTGAGTCAGCATTTTCAGCCTCCCCACTGAAACGTTTACTATGTATTGTTTTAATGTTTCCATCTGACGTCATTTCATTTATAGCGATTCACTCCTGAAACCAAAACTAGTTTCTTCAGAACTGTGATTAAGGGTGGATGTGCAGTATTTACACAATTTACACACTGTAAAAAGACAAGCGTGAAAGTCCAGCTTCCTATTTCTTGAGAAGTACGGCAATGGCCTTTATGTCTGAAACCAAACCGGTTGAACCACCAACCTGGGACATTCGAGGAATGTGCAACAACAAAAACGCAGATCACTGATCATGTTTGCATTTTATCTCCTCTCATCATTTTTTCTGCTATGTGCATTGTTGCACAGGCCGTACCTCTGAGTCCAGCAGCACTCCAGTCTTTCGGCACGCCATGTCGGGGCAGGTGATTGGTGCCCCCCCACCCTCCATTATGGCTAGCTGAACATACTGCTGCAAACACTGGAGAGGGAAGAAGGACAATAGGGCATTAGACTGGACGTTTAATCAGACAGGGAGAACTGTCATATGCTCGCCAGCAGCATTTTATCTGAAACAAGTGCAGGAGCTCAGAGAGCCACAATGTTACTCAGGACGAAATGAAAGGAAGATGTTGGGTTAAACCGGGCAGCTGAAATGTCACAGATAGAGAGCTTCCTCACGAGTGCTCACAGAGTCAAAAGTCATGTGTTGCCCAAGCCATGACATTGAGTAAGGCAGGAGAAACTGTGGAAGCACTGTTCATAAAAGCAGTGCTGTTTTCAAAAATTAAAGTTAAAAAATTCTTTAAAGAAGAAAAACTTTTGCATGAGCACAAACCTGTGCTTCCTGTGTGAATACAGCCCTAACACAGCATGAAGCACTGATCACACAAACAGAGCTGGAACAACACCAGGAACACGGTGTGCTCTTTAAGCAGACAGAAGGAGATGGTTCACATTTTTATACTAAAGATAAGTACGTGTTTCAGTATCAATTTCCCTCGCTGTGTCGTACCCTGCGCATGTACGTGAGGTTTATCTGTGCGACCTTGTGCGTGCTGCTCTGACAAATGCAGCGAGCTTGGAAAGAGATTAACACCTGCCACTATCTGGCTCCGTTTTGATATGCAGGCAGGCACGCTTGAGACCAGAACAGTGCAGCAGCGGACCTTTGCACTCCTGTTATAAATATTACAGCTCTGTTATCTAAAGATAGCGCTTCTCATCATCTCACATGAAGGAGTGAAACTGAAACTCAGGATAAGTTTGTGAGTTTAAAAACAAAGAGCGAAGCGATAAAGCACATGAGAAAAAAAAATTCCATGGACAATTCAAAGACGGTAAATGTGAAAGACAGACAGCCCTGTGTTGAAATCAGCATAATTTTACTGGAATGGAAGTGTGATAGATTTGCCTATAAAAGGATCTATTACTGTATACGGTCATAAAGGAGGAAGTGGTGTTGTAATAATAAAAAAAAAAAGAAAAAAAAATCTCATTCCAAGTAATTTAAACGCCGGACATTTGCCTAAATTGCCCAAATTGTAAAAAGCTGGTTTTGGATCACTGTCCTGAAATTTTCAGCACCTGCAGGAAATGATTAAACGCATGAGAAATGAAATAAATATATTTATATAGCTTGACACATGCACTCTGAGTCACTGACTCAAATGAAGACCTGGACACGATGAGAAGCAGCTCCTGAAAAAACCTGAATGCATCATCTGTACCTACCGCTGTGCAGTAGATGCACTTGCAGCTCTGCAGTCCTGTGGTGGCTGTCGATGGCTGCTCGCTGAGGCACAGTTTGCAGAACACCTGCAGGTTGGCGGCAGCCTCGGGCGTCTCCGGAGCTGACTCCCGGGCTTCCCGGCTCACGGTGGGACTCCCGCTGGCCATGACGAGGCGAGGCCGGCCGGCAGGAAAAGAAGTCACGAGGACGAATCAAGCCTCTCTTAGCCTTTCTGCTGGGAACGGAGAGCAGCCATGGCCTCCATGTTCCTAAAAAGCAGAAACAGCACTAATCTATTTGTCTATTCAGTATGGGTGTAACCAGAGGTGGGACCAAGTCATTGTTTTGCAAGTCTCAAGTCAAGTCTCAAGTCAAGTCTCAAGTAATGTCAGGCAAGTCAGAGTCGAGTCTCAAGTCACTGGTGTAAAAGTCCGAGTCAAGTCACAAGTCTGAAACTTTGAATTTCAAGTCCTTTCGAGTCTTTAAAAAAAAACAAACGAAAAAATAATGTTGCAGTTATGCTAAATGTAAATATTAGACCATGTAATTTTAAAATCTGTGTTTTTCTCAACACATGACAAAATAGTGAACTTAGAAAATATACACAAATTGTGAAATTGCACCTCTTTAAAATGCAGCTCAATTAAACTTAGCTCCAAGAATAATTTTCACCGACAGTTCTGAGATACGCTGCATGTTATTCTTGGATGCGGTTGTAGGACCAGCTTTAAAATCGCATGACAAAAATATCATACACATTAAAAAAAACTGTATCACCAACGTAGCCTGGACAACATTTGCTAGTTAGATGAAGTCAGCTATCTCATCTTAGCATATTTATATGCATATTTATAATCATATGGTTCTTGGAGTGAGTGCATACACTCATGAAGTTTAGTAACTTCCGGTCACTGCAACAAGCCCAGGTACAGTTTACCGACGGATGGGTGCAGGACCTTGAAATGCACCGTGTAGAACGAAAGACCATCGTACGTATCATAAGTTTACCAGTCTCACAAATCGTCTTCATAAATACACATTCATTAACCGTTTATTAATAGGACCTTTGAGCTCAACGGTAATTAATTAGTAGTGGAAATAATTTCTGGTAGCATCACAGAAATGTAGCAGTGACAATAATATTGTATGCTGTAATCGTACTGGGCAATTAGTGATACAAAAAACCTGTTTTATCCTGTGAATAAAAGTATATGTTTTTGTCAATGTACCATAATAACAGAAGCGAAACGCAATATTGTGTCAGGACAATTCACTATTTATGCACAATAAATAAAGGAGCATAGCGCGACAATTTCTGTTCAGCGCCAGACTTGCTTGTAACCTATATCACCAATTATGTTATGAAAATGACGCATTAACTACAACAGCAGACTGACCTTTGTGTAAATGCTTGGAGCAGACTAACCTGTGAGCTGGAGTGTTCTAGGACGTTATATTTGATCTTTGAATGGCTGCAATCCAGTCGCCTCTTTGTCACTTCGGAAACATGGCTCGAACAATTTCTCTTCAACGACGTAATCCGATAACAACCGATCTCTTTACCCGTCGGCTTCCCGTGGCTGTCATGCGACCGGCTATTGCAGTTAATAATACAACGGCTTCTTGACATTTTTGTGTTTCTTTTTATCGCTGTATAACTGATTTTAATTGAAAGCCTGCGTGCGCTAGTACCGCTTGCCACGAGTTCCCAGAATCCTTTGCGGTTCTACCCGTGAATGACGTCACATTTTCAATCTCCATATAATATGCATGTTAAATTTTATATTTGGGGTAAAATATCAAGTCTTTTCAAGTAAACCGGTTCAAGTCCAATTCAAGTCCCAGGTCATTGGTGTAAAAGTCCAAGTCAAGTCACAAGTCTTAGAACATTTTTTCAAGTCAAGTCTAAAGTCATAAAATTAATGACTCGAGTCTGACTCGAGTCCAAGTCATATGACTCGAGTCCACACCTCTGGGTGTAACTCTTTGCTTTCCCTTCCCTGTCAGACAACACTGCACCCTCTTTCTAAAAACCGCCATCCCATTCTGATAACTGATGTAGCAACTCTGATGATTTCAGCTATGCCTGCAGCAATGCCCTGTGATTGTTTTGTTAAAGGAGTGACGATTACTCACAGCTTAAAGCTGCGTGATGTACGAAGCAAATTTGAGTTACAGTATGTGTTATTGCTACAGTAATATGAAAACAGCCTCATTATCCTTTGTTGTGTCTCCATATATTCTTGCCATTTTCAAGTCCAGAGTCCAAGGCGTGTGTTTACTAAGCCCGCAGTTATTGAGCAGCGCTTCATTTATCCTGACAGGAAGAACTGGCTACTGACTGTCACGTCCACTTTACAGAAACACGGCAAAGTCTTGTGTAATTATAGGTTGGGATTTTGTGAACATAATGCCTCAAGAGACTAAATTACATCAGGGGAAAGGTGGTTTTGAACACTCTGAACTGTAGTTAAGTTTAAAAAGTATTAAAAGCAATTAGCCGAGACAGAATGGTGATGCCCCACACGCTTGTGGGGATAGGTTGATTGGATAATCCAAATTGTCACTAGGTGTGAATGTGCGAATGAGTGTGAATGGTTGTCTGTCCTTGTGTGTTAGCCCTGCGACAGACTGGCGACCTGTCCAGGGTGTAGCCTGCCTCTCGCCCTATGACAGCTGGGATAGGCTCCAGCGCCCCCCGCGACCCTGAAAAAGGATAAGCGGAAGCGAATGGATGGGATGGATGGAGAATGGTGATGCTTCACGTCGTCTTTGCTTCAGTATTTAGTTGAAGCTGAACCTCTGAATCGGGCTTTGTAGGAGCAGCATGGTGACCTTGTTTTTGCGTTTATGGTGACACCCTCTGTAGCGCCCACTGCCACAAATGGGAGAGAGCTTTCTCCGAGCTAACAAAGAGAGAAAGACAAAAAAAAAAAAACCAATACAAAACAAAACAAAACTAGGAAATATGTATTTTATTCTCTGAAATGCCTTTCAGTGTGTGTATTATCACATCATTATTATTAGTCTAAATGACATGTGAGATTCCCAGTGATTTCAGTCTGGACCAAATTAGTGAACTGGCTAACCAGCCAATACCAACATATTACCATCTACAAAGCCACAATGCAAACCTTCTTTGCTTATGAAAAAAATAAAAATAATTATGGACGACTTATTTTAGGACAGCAAGACAAAGGTGAGTAAAACTCTAGTCTGAACTTAAAGGAAACTCAAGTCACCCTCCAAAAAATCCCTTTTGGTTCAGCCCTGTTCCAAAAAGCATGAGAAATAATAACCCCATAATCTGGGATTTGAGATTAATCGCATGGACAACAGTGGTTGGACAGAGAACAGGGTCACACAGGAAACTGTGGCGTTAAAAAACACACTGTGCAGCCTGAGCAGCTGCTGAAATCACACATGATCTTGTACATGATGTTCTCTGCTTCAGCAGCCTATCAATGTTGGCTGGAAACTTTGGAGCCGTTCAATCAATATAGCAAACTCCGCCACTGGTGTCCTCCTTTGTAGTGTGTTAATGATCATTCCCTGGTAACACACACGATAGCTGGGTATGCTGAGCTCTGTGCACGTTGCTATTTTTGCACAGTCATAGTCTGCTCTCCTGCACTACTTTCAGGCAGACGTGCTGAGCCGGCTGCAGTCATCGTCCCACAATGCCGTCAGCCTGTCCTGTCCTGCCTGAGCATAACCACCCCTGTGGTTTCGCATGGGAAATTACAGCTTTCGTGCCTGCTAGCCTTGCTTCATGGAAACTCCAGCATTATTAACAAAGTGAAGCCTTCATCCCGAAGCAACTTCAAAGTTTAGAATTTAAGATTACCTGGGTAACTTTCAGTCAACATATCACACAGGCGGAAGGCTTCATATCTTAGAAAATTTGATAAATCACATTTGTGATTGTCATCTGCCTTTCAGATCATGGATAAAAAGTAATTGTGATGTTTTCAGTGCTGCACACACAGCAAGTGTACGGTGGAACAAATGATTACTTTGCACCTAAATTTAAATAAGTATCAATGCAAAGTCCTAACAACCGGAATCTTTAATCCAAAGCCTTTACTTTCAGAACTGTCCTTCAAAAAAACACACAAAAAAACCTTTCTGATTGTAATCCAAAAGCTCACATTCAACCTCGAATCTCCACTGTTGCAGCACTTCCTTAATTAGAATGCTTTTGTGTGCAATTGCTTTCTTTTTCCGTGTGGAAGCTGGCCATTCAGCGATTAAAACCCTTCACGGATCAAGGTCTAAATGGCATTCCAGACATTGAGGGCAGGGTGAAGTGGGGTGAGGTGGTGGGGATCAAAGCATCATTGTTGACCTGGGAGGCAGAAACGGAAAAACCAGATCTGCCTGGTAAAAAGCTGCTGCTGCTTTCACACAGACTGTCACTGTTCTGTGGAAGGAGACAGCAGAGAGTGTGCACTGGGGTAGTAGAATTTATATGGCATCATTTGTACGTTTCCAATCACACCATGTGTGTGTGTGTCTTTTTGGGGTTTTTGTTTGTGTGTGTGTGTGTGTGTGTGTGTGGGTGGTGCATAGAATAAAATGGCACATAAAGTTGAAACATAGCAGAAGGAAATGACAGTGTGGGAAAATGTAAGCCTTGATGGTAATGCACACCAGTTAATCACAAGTGTGCTCGGTACAGATATGATTTAAAGGCTGCCTTTGTGCATGCATATTCCCAGACTGCTGATATCTGGTCTTTCTGCACTGCGATCAACCACAAACACACACGTGAAATCTGAGACATCTGCAGCTGTGTCAAGGTTGTAGACCAGCACAGGTCACAGAGCGCTTTTTTCATACGCTTTTTTCTATGATACCACCTTAATGAACAGCTTTGAGGGTGGACAGTACAGGTACAAATGGTGCGGAACCTACCTTCCCTGTGGACCACTGGGCGTAGAAGCAGTCTGAGTCCAGATCCACAGCCGCAGTGCTCTTGTTACTGTGGTACAGACACATGTGTTATAACACAGTCTGGTGCTGTAATAACCTGCTGTCAACGCCTAATGCCACTGCGACCGTCTCGATACCGCCTCCCCCAAGTGCGTTGCGGGATTAAAGAAAATCTAAATCATGTTTAACCCTCCTGCTCTCTCCTGTCCTGCTCTCTGCTTGTGTCTGAGTTTCGGTTCTCCTGCCTCTCGTCCCCATCCAGGAAGCAGCGCTCTTTGCTCTCCACTTATCTGGACTCTCGACTGCGCCTGCTGGCTGCTTCAATAAACTCATGCTGCTTTCAAGTACTGTCGGAAATGATCCCGCAGGAACAAAAAGAAGGCTTGACATAAACGATATTCCTGCAGCATAAATTTCTGATGGCACGGTTGTTGTCTGTAGTAGAAATAACTATGCCAAGTTCATGTCATCAATTCAAGCTCAGGCTATCAGAATTTACAATCTTAAAATGTGGGCATTACTTGAGTAAAGGGGCTATTTGCATTTTGGGACATTTTTCGGAGCTACTTGTGCACGAGCTAGCTGAGCCATAGCTTGTGACTTTACGAAACAAATTCTAGCTAAAAAAAGGAAGACAAAGGAAAACAAATGCAGTTTTAATGATTACTCTTAGAATAAATATTCAGCATATCTACAAATCCTTACCTCTTCTAGCCCCCCAGACAGAAAAACACTTAGTTCACAGTGCAACAACTTCCTCTAGGGTTCTGGTTCACCTAGCAACCACAGCCTCATAAAACAAATCAGAATGGCCTCTGTTGCCTTGGCGTTGTGGTGCAAACAGTGGTACAAAAATGAAAAACAGATTATGGTGCTCAATACATACAAAATCCACCTGTATGCAGATGCTCTTTAATCAGAACAATATGTTTAATGATAACATATAATTATTGTTGTTATCCATGTTATTTTTAAATTTACCGTTCAGAAAATTTCTGGAAAGTTTCTGGAAACATGGAAACCCTTCTATAAGGGAATTGATTGGGTCGTACACCAACGAGACAATGACACCAAGCATACTTCAACGGAATCTGGAGTACTGGAACTGATGGATTGGGCACGTCAAAGTCTGGACTTAAATCCTATTGAACAGATTTGGAATTTAGTGGTCTTAAAGATGGATCGCAAAAAAAGTTTCATCCAAAAGAAGGAAGCAAAGAAACTTGTGAAAAGTACATAAAATAATGGCAGCAAGAATGCGAGCTGCTGTCAAGGCCAAAGGAGGCTATAGGAAATATTATATTCTTCGATTATTATGTGTGAATAAGGACTGTTATTTCAGTTTGTTATTTGCTTAATAAGTAACAATATCATTTTTGGTTATAAACGCATTTTTGTTTGCATTTTCTTGTCTTTATGACATTATTATTAGGCCTGTTAGTTTGTTAAGATTGTTACTCCAACTGCTCAGTGCCCTGAGGTACTGGTCCCGATCAGTGTTGGTCAAGTTACTTGAAAAAGTAATCAGTAACTAATTACTGATTACGTCCCCAAAAAAGTAATCCCGTTACTTTACTGATTACTTATTTTCAAAAGTAATTAATTACTTACTTACTTAGTTACTTTTTAAAAACACGATTTTCAACCTGAATAGGTGATAAAGCGATAGAGCTTTCAGCCCAATTCTACTTTTTCTACATAATCCATCATACAAAATGTAATCAAATGGAAAAGTCTCTTTTTTTAACTTGTTTTATCAGTTTTAATCTTTTAACTTTATGCATCAAGCAAAAATTTAATTATATGCAACATTCTCTGACTTGAATAAATTAGTTTAACATTTAAACCTATTTTCTACACATTCCAGCACATAAAATAAAATATTTTTTGTGTTTACATTCACTCTTTCAAATAGATGCAAGTAAAACACAGCAGAAAATAAATAAAGTCAAAGACTAAGCGGTCCTGTTGCTCTATTGCTCTAAAAAAGTATTCAGATTACAGTAACACGTTACTTGTAACGCATTACTGCCCATCTCTGGTCCCGATAGATTGCAACCTCCTGATGGACTGCAGCCCCCTGCAGTAATCTTCCTTGCCCGTCTGTGTCCTGGATGTATACAGGTGTGCAGAAATGGAGAAAGATGTAAGAAAGATATCATCTTACTTGTAATGCAATAACCAATTTTAGAGTTTTGTGGTCAAGTTTATGATGAGCCATGTTTAACTGACAAAAGCTAAACAAGGGGTTTGTGGTCATTGTTAGGTTACATGACGGGTAGCAGGCATCGATTTATATTTAAGGCAATGATGATTAGATTTCCTTTTTATAGTAGCTTTATACTCTCAAGGGGTTAGAAATCAGACATATGCCTTGTGAAACATCTGCTCTAACCCGCCCAGCTTCGACAGGTAAATGCTACTTATATAATAATCGGACATGGGGGCTAGAATAAGCTTTAATACATTACAAGAAAACATTTTAAAAGTTGATTCGTGATTTTACACTAATTTCTGGGTCTTTGTTGCTGTGTGCCATATTAGCTTACGGTAGATGCCCACAGTTTGCCTCGCCACTGAAACAGTATGCGTGTGCGGGGATGCCCCATTACCTCATGAGAATGACCGGTTATTGTTTATCTTGTTAACAGTCTTTATCTGCTTTATATACATCTATAACTATACTTATTTCATGTAATACCATAATTTAGAAGAACAAATGGTTGATATCTGACTTTATTGGGCGCATTTAAAAAGATTTCACTCACACATTGAAAAGATTTCTCTGTTAGGCTACCCTGCTAGCAGCCTCAGCAGGCTAACCACAAACCAAAACCTACTTGCACGAAGTTGCATCATTTCATGCTATCGGCCTCGATGCTACAGTGCAAAATATAAGTAATTTAGATTTGATCGTGTCTTTTTTGTTAATAAATCATTAGGACATGTTTTGGATTTCAAGGGGAAAATAAAAAGTCCGAGGTTTAGTGAAGGTCGCATCTGCGTGAAAATAAAGAAGGAAATCTTTAACTTAGTGTTTAACAGCATCTCTAATGTTACTGTCTCATCACAATCACATAAAACACAAAAGTGTAACAGAATAATGTCCACAGCAATACAAACATTACAGAGAAACCCCTCTGAACCTGAAATTAACTGCATGGAAACCCCGAGTTAAAGTGCGCATGCGCAGGGGCTTTTCCCAAACTACGGTTTATCAGTCGGCGTGAGTACGAGCGCGTCTCACAAGGACAGTATCACAAACTGACGAAAGATGGATAGCACTGACCCTCTGCCACTGTCTCCTTTTATTAACAACAGCTTTGCAAAGACGAAAGAAGGAAGCTTGTTAAATCAGGTGAGATTATTTAGAGCTTTCTGCTTCAATAACGGGCGGGATGTCATGTCTGAAATCTGAGTATGCCTCTCTTCTAAGTTATCATGTCCTATTGTAGAATACCATGTATTTCATTTCACTATTTGTAATGTGGGGGAAATACTTTTAAAGTAGTTTTGCTTAAGTTTAAAACTTCTTTGGGATGTAGCACGGTTTCCGTGTTTTGTTCGTGAAGAAAGAAAATTCTCATCGACTTGTTGTAGGGAAGACGTCACGTGACCTAGATATAATACACAGGTGGCCTGTCCGGGTGGGATGTGGTTTGCAGACGAAAAAACCGCCGACTCAGTTGCCTCTGCAGAAAAACACGTTTTCATTTTAAAAGACGTCATGTTATCCATACTCATATTTTTTTAATGTATTTTTTTGTGCCCCCTCCCTCCAGGTGATGCCATCTAAAACCTCCACCGTGGCCACCGTGATCCAATTGGTGCAAAGAGCGGTGCAGAAGAGCTGCATAAGGGCCTGTCAGCTGCTCTGCCTGCCTTTTGACCCTGTGATGTGTGAAAAAGTCACATGTTGCTCAGGTAAAAAACAAAAACAAAACCGAACAAAAATGACTTTATTGGAGGTAGATTTTACATTTATTCTTTACATAACTATAATTGCATGAATACATCTGTTTATTTGTGTTTTGTCGTTATAATCACGATGAACTTTCAGTTTGTCTGTGTAAGCTGGAAAGATAATGTGTCATTAGTAAAAAAGTAACCTTCCCTCTCTTATTGCCTTTACAGCTAAAACTCATCAGCCCAAGGAGAATAAAAACATTCAAGGTAACATTTTAACTTTATATGTTCAATAAAACGTTGGCTTCCTTAAATCTTTTTTGGTAAAATCTTTTGCTTCCCCTTTTCCCCATCTTTATGTTTTCCATTACTTATTTTTCACGAGCCTGGAGGCGTACTGCGTGATGGAAGTTTTTTTTTTGACGTTCGCCGCACATTCAGGAACTTAAAACTGTGACATCACTATGGATCAACAACTTCTCATTTTCTCTTCCCTTTTCTCCTGCTTTCCCCGTCACACAGCAATGGCCCTTCAGAGTCCGCCGTCAACAATACTGATCGTCAACATCAGCAACTCCACGTTGATTGACTGCGTCATTGGAAACGGCACCCATACAGTGGCCGAGTGTCAGCCTCTCATGCAGGAAACTGAGCGCCACATGAAAGGTGTGTAACAGCAAAGCCTGGCCAGCTGAACATCTCTTTAAAATACGCTATGCCGACTGCACTCATGTGAAGTGCAAGCTTTTAATTTGAGTTGTGTTACAGGTCAGATGAGGTTTAGCTGCTACGGTGGGAAACAGGAGTCAGCACAGGATGCTGCTTTGCCACCACTTCCTCCATCAGAAGAGCATCCGAGTGTCAGCATCCACAGCTCCCACGTCAGCTACACCATCATTGGAGACAACAACAGCATGCATGTTGATATGAGCCAGCCGTCCAGCTAAAACGGAAGATTCACAAGTGTGCCACATGTACACACACATGCAGACTCAAGAAACACTGTAGCCACGATTATAACTTCAGCTTAGTATCAGGGCAAACATTTTCAGTCTGGAGGTGAGAGGTAACAATGTCTCTGCTAATCAAAAACTCTGCCAGATAAGCAGTTTATTATTATAAAACACAAAAAAGAGCTGTTTTGTGGGCATTTTGACCATCATGACTGTTGATTTTTCGCTCTGGTCTCTTTTAGTTGACATGAGGGAAAGCTTTTTGTTTGTTATGTAAATGTTCTAATCGGGGGCAATCATGGCTCAAGAGTTGGGAGTTCGCCTTGTAATCGGAAGGTTGCTGGTTCAAGCCCCAGCTTGGACAGTCTCGGTCGTTGTGTCCTTGAGCAAGACACTTCACTCGTTGCCTACTGGTGGTGGTCAGAGGGCCCGGTTGCGCCAGTGTCCGGCAGCCTCGCTTCTGTCAGTGCGCCCCAGGGTGTCTGTGGCTACAATGTAGCTTGCCATCACCAGTGTGTGAATGGGTGGATGACAGGTTGTGTAAAGTGCTTTGGGGTCCTTAGGGACTAGTAAAGCGCTATACAAATACAGGCCATTTACCAAATGTTATCTTATGTCTGTCACGTCATGATATGGGCTTGGGTTAAAATGTATGGCCTATGGTCATTAAAAGTAGACTATTTAGTAGTATTTATTACCAGAGGTGATTTTGATTTCCTGTGTCTCTATATTTGATATTGCTTAATATAAAATAACTGTGACTTTGTTATGTACATAAAACTGAGTAAGAGGACTATGAATGAATGAGTTTTAACTGTTGTAACGGTAACTGCTATTATATTTATAATAAAGACTTCACATACTGCATTAGTGTTTGTTTTTATTCAGATGATCATGTCAATGACATTCGGCAGCACTATCAAAAAGTCATTTCTTCTTTTTCCTTCTTTCCTTCTTGTTCCCTTTCTTGCCTTTCTCAGCTTTTTTAAAACCGCAGAGTCCTCGGCGTACGATGCAGCCTCTCCACCAGGCCTGCAGCTGCACAGAAACAGGGATTCAGTTCAGTTGTATTTATACAGCGGCAAATCAAAACAACAGTCACCTCAAGGTGCTTTATATCGTAAGGTAGACCGTACAATAATACATACAGCAAAAACCAACAGTCATATGACCCACTATGAGCAAGCACTTTGGCAACAGTGGAAAGGGAAAACTCCCTTTTAACAGGAAGAAACCTCCAGCAGAACCAGACTCAGAGAGGGGCAGCCGTCTGCCGTGGTTGGGAATGAATATGCCGCAGTCCATGTTCATTCTGCCTGCTGAATACCCTCGTATTCCTTAGCGTTGTTCTTGAATACGAGAACAACCGAACTTAAAGAGCATGAACTGTGTTGGATACTGTTACCTTGGTGGCAGCTCTGATCCGTGCCTGCTGTTGGTACAGTTTCTCTTGCTCCTCCCTGTCCTCCATCACCATCTGCTCCATCTCCTTGAACTGAAATCAGGAAGTAATTGACATTCACTTAATAACGAACTAATTAGCATCTGCATCTGTTCAGCACCGTGAGCCGCCAACCTTCATTTTCATGTCCTCCAGCCTGTCTAAGTTCAGGTCCTTTTTGAAGCACATGTTGTGGAGCTGCTTGCTCTTCTCCTGCACCATCTGCTCTGTGTGCTTCTGCAGCTCATGCAGCAGCTGCTGCAGCTCCTGATCAGCAACAGTGCAAAGTTAGGTTCACCATATTATCAGCAATCAAATTAATGAGATAAACAGTCTTCTGGAGAATGACAAACACAAAAAGATCAGCTACTTGATAAAGTAGTAAAATCAAACCACAGAAACTATGAATCCATACAAGCGACAAACCAGGAAAGAGCTTTTTAGTTTTAGAGAAACTGAAAGGACACACACACACACACACACACACACACACACACACACACACACACAAAACTGAGCACAGTGTTCAAGTTCAAGGTTCTTTATTTGTCACATGCATAGTTATACAAGTATAACACACAGTGAAATGTAGCCTGACACGCTCCTCGACATGTGCAAAAATTGGGGGGGGGGGGGTGTAGAGGAAGAACATTATATATATATATATATATATATATATATATATATATATATATATATATATATATGTACATACATATAGTATATACACTGGGTGAATGTGCAGTAGTAGCAGCAAGCAGGTGAATTCTGTACATTAATATGAATAGACATCTGACTATTTTACAGGATAGACAATATAAACATATTTAAAATTAAAGGAATTGAAATGTACATTGTTCCTTGGTTTAGTGTCTGGAAGAGTCCTGTCTCAGTCAATTATAGATGATGTGAGAGGGCGGGTGTGTGTGTTTAGGGCACGGATGGCTTGGGGATAGAAGCTCCTCTTGAGTCTCTCTGTCCTTGCGGAACCTTCTACCAGATTGCAGAAGTTGGAACAGTTTGCTGCCAGGATGGGACGGGTCCTTCAGTATCTGCGCTGCTCTAGTCCGGCATCTCCTGGTGTAGGTGTCCTGAAGCGGGGGGAGAGCAATCCTGCAGCAGCGTTCTGCTGTACGGATCACTCTCTGGAGAGCTTTTTGGTCCTTCACACAGCTGTTCCCAAACCACGATGTCATGTTCTGTGTGAGGATGCTCTCCACAGCGCCTGTATAGAAAATCCTGAGGATCTTTGGAGAGACCCTGAACTTCCTCAGTTGTCGTAGGTGATACAGGCGCTGCCTAGCCTTTTTGGTCTGGACCTGAATGTGGGCAGTCCATGTCAGGTCTGAGGAGATGTGGACACCAAGATACTTGAAGGACTGCACCCTCTCCACTGGAGCTCCATTGATGATGATGGGCTTGTAGTCTCTGTGCTGACCCCTTCTGAAGTCCACCACCAGCTCCTTGGTCTTGCTGACGTTCAGCTGGAGGTGGTTGTCCTGGCACCACGATGCCAGATTCTTCACTTCATCCATGTAGGCCGCCTCATCGTTGTTGGAGATGGCACCCAACACCACTGTGTCGTCAGCAAACTTCACAATGGTGTTGGAGCCGTGGGTGGCCACACAGTCTGAAGTGTAGAGGGAGTAGAGCAGTGGCGAGAGGACACATCCCTGAGGGGCTCCTGTGTTGATGGTGATGCTGTTGGAGAAGCACCTGCCCACCCTCACCACCTGAGTTCTGCCAGTGAGGAAGTCCAACACCCATGCACACAGACGGCTGTTAAGTCCCAGATCCCTCAGCTTTGTGAACAGTCTGCAGGGCACTATTGTGTTAAACGCTGAACTGTAATCAACAAACAGCATTCGCACATAGTTACCCTGTTTCTTGTCCACGTGGCTGAGAGTGGTGTGTAGGACGTGGGCGATGGCATCCTCTGTGGATCTGTTGGATCTGTAGGCGAACTGCAGCGGATCTGTGGTGTCTGGGATGGAGGAGGAGATGATGTTCTTCAGCAGCCTCTCAAACACCTTCATTACTACCGAGGTCAGTGCAACTGGCCGGTAATCGTTCAGGGATGAGGGGTTGCTGTTCTTGGGCACAGGGATGATGGTGGATCTTTTGAAGCATGTGGGGACCACAGACTTCGCCAGGGACTCGTTGAAGATGTAAGTGAACACACCTGCTAGCTGGTCAGCACAGCAGCGCAGCAGACGGCCGGTGATGCCGTCTGGCCCCGCCGCTTTCCTTGTGTTCACTCTCCTCAGTGCCGCTCGGACGTCATGCTCCGCGATGCTGGTCACCGGTCTCTCGCTGATGACGTCACTGTCCTCGGTAGTCAGGCGGTAGATAGCATTAGCCGCCTGGCTAACCTCGAAACGGCCGTAGAACCGATTCAGCTCGTTGGTGAATGCAGAGTCGAATGTTGCAGTCCCTCATGTCACGTTGGAAGGTGACCCTTCCTCTTAGATCATCGAGCTTGTTCTCCATGGATTGTACATTGGCCAGTAGGATACTGGGCAGTGGTGCGCGATGCGCCTGCTGTCTCAGTCTGTTCCTAATACCAGCGCGTTTTCCCCGGCGCTTCTTTGTTCTGTGCCTCGGATGAGCGGCCCGTCCTTTGTTGTTCTCCGCGCCGCGTAGAATCTCTGGCGGCCAGGAAGGGTCAGGATTAAAAGTGTCCAAGATTAGATGTGCAACCTTGGCACCGATGTTTACAAGTGATCCGCTGTCGTATACTATAAGACTAGAGGATTTTGGGATGTAAACCAGAGCAAAAAATAGGTAAAAAACAAGAAAAGTGGATAGTCGGAGCGGAGCGGTCAGGAAGGCATCTGGACGTGGCCGCGTGTTGGTTTAGTTAAATCTCCTGATGGCTTATGAATCCAATCACATGGCGAATTCAAGTTATTCAAGCTGCTTTAGCCTTGACACAGTTCATCTCAAAGCTGCTTTGCAACCCAACTCCACCGCCGCGTCTCTCTGTGATAGTATTTCTGACTTTATCTATAACAAATGTCATATTTGTTGTCATCGATGCCTACCCTGTTCTGTGCTAGCGACTTCCTTGTGCTCTCCATGGATACAGATAAAATACCAGGGAAAAAATTACAGCAGATGGAAATCTTCTTTTGAATAGCGAGCGATCTCAAGTGAACTGCTCCAAAGCTAATTTAATTAATTTCAATTTAGTTTTATTTATGTAGCACCAAATCCCAACACAGTTGTCTGAAGGTGCTTTATACAGTATGGTAAAGACCCCACAATAATACAGAGAAAACCCCAACAACTACATGACCGCCCATGAGCACGCACTTGGCAAAAGTGGGAAGGAAAAACTCCTTTTTGAAGTACAGCCTCTAAGCCACACAGCTGCACAACGCTGCATATAGTATTACTTCACCAACCTCATGCTGCTTCAGCAGGAATTTCTGAGACTCCTCGTGAACTCTCACCTCCTCCTTCAACTGTTTCTTCAGCAGCTGAGACAGGATGAGCCAATGAAGGTGATTATTTAGTCATTAAACATTTGACTTTAAATCTAAAATGTAGAGCCGAGCGTGTCTTATATTTGGACCTACCTCCAGCTGCCCTTCCAGCAGTGCCTCAGCCTGACTGGTCTCACTCTGGATCTTCCTGAGCTGCAGCCCAGTGTCGTTCTCCTTAATGTTCTCTTTGCTTCTCATCTTTAACAAATGATCTTTCTTGTTTGCTTCATGGTGTATGACCTGCAGATACAGGTCCGGATGGAGACCAAGTAGTGGGATTACTGAACTCTTATTTTTTCGACCCTTACAGCTATTCATTCACAGTTGTTCCCTATGGGTCAGTTTCTTACCTGCAGTTTGAGAGTTTTCTGTTGGAGCTCCTCTTGTTGTTTCAGAAGAGTCTGTCTTCTCTTGTCCACTTGTTTCATTTCCTCCCTGAAAGGAGAGTGACTTACATTATAGATGCTGATTATTTCTCCATGTGTTTTTTCTCCTTGTCCTCTATTTAGAACACCCCCTTCTTTTTTACCACCAAGGTCAGGATTACTGGCAAATCATTCAAAGAAGAACCTTTTCATGTTCGTATCCCTTCTCCTCTGCTCGACTTCCTCCACAGCCTGCAGCAGAGAGCTAAAACACTGTTTCTCCTCCAGCTCCAAATGTAGCTTGGACATCAGCTGTGAGATGTATTCACTGCAGTGAGATGAATTATTGAGAATAAATAATGGCTTTGTTTATTTGTTTGTTTTCAGTGTGTTCTGTGCTTCTTACCAATCCCTTGTCAACTTCCTGAGCTTGGCTTTCTCCTGCACCACACACACACACACACACACACACACACACACACACACACACACACACACACACACACACACACACAGAGTCATGTAATAACGCCCAAAACACAGTTTTTCACAACACTGCTAGATCAAAGCAGCAGGCAGCTGTTGACAGATGTTATCGTGGTAATACTGTGAAATCACCTGTGCAGGTCTTTCCCTGCGTATCCGCATTGCGAGAATATGTCCCAGTATTTCCAGCTGGTGTGAACAGTCCTCCAGTACTGCTACCAGTCTCAGACTCTGAATCCTGGATAAACACATCCTGTAGAAAATGAAGGCAGCGATGAACAGATAGATTCAAAGTTACACTCTTAAAGATGGGTTATTTTTAGCATGGCGCTGTCTAAGAGCTTGCTTGCGGAAATAAACCACAAGCTCTTTGAACCTCGGAGACATTGGCACTGGTGTCTGAAGGCTAAACGTTAGGCTCGGCGCTAGCTAACATTTCCGCTTCACGACAAAGAACGTGGCAGGGGTACCAGGCAAAAACTGTGGCTTACTTCTCTCTTTCTCGCTTTGTGAATACCAGTAACCATTTCTAACACGAAACCAGAGCCGGAGATAAAGTTCAGGCTTTATGTTACTATGGTAACAATGCCACTTTTTTCCCCTTGTAACTTTATTGACAGAGTAAAACATTTACAGACCTGTTTAACACTCCTTTTGTTAACTTCAAATGATGTATTCATTAATAAATAAAATCTAAAGGAACAACTTGTTTTTCCCCGGTCAATCAGGCATTATAAAAGATTATAACATACAAAATTATACAAAATATACACAATTCCCTTCTTCTGATTGTCTATTTACAACACCATTACTACTACTACTACTATTATTATTATTGTTGTTGTTGTGTTTTATGATTTGGTGTTTTATAAGTTAAAAAGAAATTGAATTCTTTTCGTTAGTAACCCTCATGGGTATCAAATTATGATCCAGGACTGAATAAAGACTTCCTACCAACTCTATTAGACACTTGGAGACACTTGAAAAAACAAGGCATTATGTTTTTGGATACTTTAAAATAAAAGATGAATAAATAAATGATGAGGATAAATAAATGATGAGGCTGTGGTCAGCTATTGCATTACAGTTTATTGTTTATACTTGTCATTTGTTGCACTCTCTGCAGGGAGTTACAGCTTGAAGGTAATACAGACTGAAGGTACAAGCTACACTGTAGTACATGCATGATGCTGTCTGTCACACCGAGAGGTTTCTTCTGAAGACTTCGCAGCCCTCCTGTTCTTCACACATGGACAATTTCCCTCTCAGCTCTACAGCAGTCTCATTGTCAGCACTGTCATCTTTGAGGCAACACACCTGAACGTTAGAACAAACCCTTTGAAACGATGTATGTACAGTAACAGCAGACGACTGTTCAACAGATGAGAGCGATAACAAAAGGCATCTTTTAAGGCAAAATATGAAAAGACGTGGAATGCGATGAAGTGTAAAATAAACATCCGGGCTATGAGGAAGTTATATCTCTCTGCCAGTGAGACTATGAATGACAAAAAAGAAATCATAAAGGCATTGTATTAACATTAACTCTGAGTGACTGAAAGCTGGGCAGCGTGCTGTTATTTTATGTATTATGATTCATCTTTGCAAACATACAGAAACAAATCATTAACTTGATTCATGGGAAAGCAAGAGCGTTGCATCAGTTTAAGGTATGTTTTGAAAAGATGCTGTAATGGACATATTTCAGGTAAAATACTTAAAGGCAAATCTGAACCATCTGGGTCATAGTAATGTCTGAAATTATTATTATTATTATTATTGTTACAGTCCTAAAATTGTGTTTTTCCTCAGTCAGCCTCTGAGTAGGAGTGAGGGGATCGCAGGTGAACTCAACATTTGTTAGATGTTTTGATTCCCTTTAATCAAAGATACTTTGCTTGTGCTTTTGCTTCTGCCTAGAAACAGGTGATGTCATTCAAATGCTTCCATTTCCAAGTCGGTATTTAATGATAGTTGGAGATTTTTGCCTATAGAAGCTCGTCAGGGTGCAAGCGTAACTTCACAACTGATCAAAACTGGTTCATCACAAAAGTAAGCTGGGATAGATTGTGGTGAGATCATAATTTTAGACTGATTGGAGAATTAATTAATGTTATAACTTGTCTTTTGAAAAAGTTCAAATCAGCTTTATTTATACCACACAAATTAACAAAAAAAAGCACCTTAGAGACATCTGTGCATACCAAGTGGTGTGCAGTTTAAGAGATTTTAAAAGGCATTTACCAGTTAATGGTAGGGACTAGAAATCTCAATAACATAGCCTCAGCTGTGTTTTGACCTTTTTTCCCCCTAAAGCACCTTTGATAAGATATTTCTGAGAAAGGCAAAACTAAATAACTGGAGCACCACACTGCTGTCACTTATCCCTGATCGAAACCACCTGCACAGATCTGATCAAGTACATTTATAATATTTATTAGCATTAAACACTGATAAATGTTTTTCTTTGTTTTTCAGAGGGCTTATTTTAATCTCTATATTTTTGTTAAAATCCTTGTTTATCATATACTGGGCCTTGATGGAGCCAGATCAACTTTATTCTGATTGGCTGCCCCTCACAAACACAACGTTTGCATGAGCTTTTGACTCCGAGAGATTATTTAGACATAGGCTGGTATCAGTATTTGAAGCGTGGCAATGTTTAATATATTACAACAATCTATAGATGGCAAAATAAAAAGCATGACAGGAGTGTTTTAAAGAACTTTGATCATTGTCTAATTACACATGAATATTTCATTTTAACAGAGACTGGAGCGCTTGAGGTGGTCTTCCTCCATTAGCAAGACCACTGCATAAATCAATAACTACATCAGGTGACATATTTATTTAAGGAGTTATTATTTGGCACTATAGTCAACATAAAAGCAGGTGATATTTCTCTTTGTGTAGCAACCTTTGGAGGAAAATAAAACGGGTAATTTAGCTTGAATTCCTCAAGGAAGCATGGTTTCAAGAGCGCTGTCAATAGCAGAGAGGAGTGAGAGTCTCCCTGAGCATCATCAGCAAAAGTCTGAACTGAAAACAGAGGGTGACATTTTATCGAGTAATTATTTACTGTACATACATGTAAAAAACTAAATTATAGCCCATACAAAATGTACAGTTTTATCTTCTTTTTGATGACCGTCACTCTTCGTTTACAATACGATCGCTTTTCTGTTTTGTGCTTTTTATGTGAACGCGAGTTTAGGTGGAGCAGACCGTGGCACCATCATGGAGGAAGGAAGTCAGTCCCCTTTGCACTTTGTGTCTGTTGAGTCAAATGCCTGTGTCCACACATTAAAGGTATTTCTGATATATTGATGATATTATTAAAAAAAAAAAACACAAAAAAGACTGGCAGATCTACAGTACTGTCTAGAGAAGCTGATCACGATCAGGACACAGCAGCCAGAAACCTCACTATCCACCACCAAGGTTCTTACAGCCATTCAGGCAGCCTTCTCCGACTCACGTCCACTAATACAGTAAGATCATATCCAGTGTTGTGCCATTGGAGCTGGAAGCAGCCAGAAGGAGAGATACAGAGTTTCAGATTTCACTGATTGTTCGTTCAGAGGGATGGTACTCCTCCCTATCTTTAGGGGAGGACATGTAGAATGACTGTGTCTTGCGTTTTAAGCGAGCCCTCTTGGTGGCCAGTGACAGACTGTGTTTGCTGGAGGCGATTATGTCACAGATGAACTTCTTGCAGTCCACACAGACCTCCATGGTAGCCCAGTCCTCCGTCAGCTCTGGGGGAAGCTCCAGTTCTTCATGAGACTTTAAAGAGCCGTGCTTCGAAAACCTACAGAGACAGAAACAGCAGAGGAGCTCGGCTTGAACGGGAGCGAAACACAACATTGTTTTGATATATTAACAATGTGAATTAGCTTTGGTTTCAAATTATCTAAAATGAGCATTCATAGCTAACTTAATCCATGGGATATCAATTAAATGTGTTTAAAAACAAAAAAACACATGAAACAACTCATCCTGAAAAGACTTAATGAAAAGTTCAGTCATGCATGATAATACAGGTAAATTAAATCCAAACTTCATGATTGTCTTGCTGCTTTTCTGATAAGGACGCTGAATAATTTGGTAAAGTTTGACAATCAGCCAAGCAGTTTCTGATGTGGTAGTTGCAATTTTATCCACTAGATGTCAGCAACACCCAACAAATCTTCTGACTGAAGAGGACACGCTGTACCAAGCAGTAGTAGCTACAATGAACAAGGCCTTTACTTTGCATTGTGTGTGCAGTTTGTGATGACGAACACGAGATGTATGATCTCCTCCTTTTGATTGTTGCACTGCTATTTCTAGTTTGAATAGTGTTGTTCATAGCTCTTACTTAGACATAGTCTTCTGGATGCTGTGGCGCTGTGGGTTACTGGAGGACTTGTCAGTTTTAGCAGCTGCTGCTGTTGTCGCTGCCCCAGGAGCTTTTCTGGGACCTTTAGATGCTCCTTTTGCAGGTTCTTTCAAAGCGGGGGATGCAGCAGCCCCTCCTGGTTTAGATGGACCTGGGGCTCCAGCCACTGACAGTCCTTGTCCTACAGAAGCCATGGCACTTATTCTCTCCCTGGGGAGAGTGTTGGTGGAGCCAATGGAGTAGATGGGCAAGCTGGAATAAGGTTTGGATGGCAGCCGCATCTGTCAGAGATGGAAGGCATGTATGAAAGAGATAAAACTTCCTCACAATGCGTATGGAAGCACAGTAATGATGCAAAACAAGAGAGAAGAGTGTCGTCAGTTTGAATTTGGTTGATTGGGAAGCAATTAGCCAAAGATCAGTGACCACCATTTGCCACATTAGGAAGTATCTTACACTATTTACTTATTTATTTTAAAGAGGTCCACTTTATTGTCACCAGTACAAAGATGTGATACTGCAGAAGAGGACTTATTTATCCCACGTGCCTTACCTTTTTGCAGCACTGTGCGCACACAGGCCTGCAAAGAGACGATTGACAGAAGTTACAGGAGAAGGAATAAATGAAAGCAGCCATAGATCCTTAAATAATTATAAACAGAAGAGTATTAATGAAAAAGATGAAGATAATCATCTGAAATTGTTTACTTTTTGCAGAACTGGCAGGTGTAGGACCAGGTGAAGAAGGAAAACCTTTTGGCTCGACAACAGAAGCAAAGCTGCAACAGAAATATAGAGATCGCAGTAAATATAAAGAAGGTATTTGGAACCAAAAAAACATTTTTCTCAGGATAAAAGTTATACTGTTTCCCTAACCCACTTATGGTGTTATAATTTAACTGTGCTCATTTAGAAAGAGTAAGTAATCCCTGTTTATTAAAGAGAGATTACTTCTTTATAATAGAATTAGCCTAGGCAATAAAAAGATGTATTACCTTCCCCTTCTTCATGGCATTGTAGATGTCTTTGTACTGCTGGAACTTCTCCAGCTCTGCCTTCACCAGCACCTGTCTGATGTGCATCACTTCCTCCACCGTCAGAGACAGACACTCCACAGGAAAACAAAACTCCTCCTGCAGCAACAACAAGAATTATACGCACAGCAGTCAGTGGACCCAGCAGACTCAAAACA